CACCACTATTACATTCGAGCTTTCCTTCTGGTTCCTTCTTTGACTTCTGTCGACATCCACATCTCCAAATTCCATTTCTTCAGTTACTTTTTCCAAAGATCTTTGAAAATGCAACCATCAGTGGGAGTGTCATTGTTTGCATTGATATAGATACAGAAGGTGATGGACAAGATTTCAAGTGCCTTCTGCAGTTACTGAGGTCAGTAGAGGAGGAAATATGTAAATTTATGCTTCTTATAAGGACGTGAAGAATTTAAAAGTTCATTCCCTGGCTTGTGGATCTGGCCATACTCACTTCGTCCAGACACAGTACCATATTTTCTTCCATCTCTTTGTTTTCTTAGGTTGGAAATGAAAACAGCTGTTAAAAATAAGAGCACATGAGTCAGTCTTGAATCCCAATGTAGTAATTACAGTTTCCATCTCAGTTGGTAAAGTCCCTCCCAGTGTACTAAGCCCCATATCACAATCCCCTTGTGGGGAGAACACTGCCAATGGTATTGTCAATTTTATAGCAAGACTTTAATTTTTGTTTTGCAAACCTCTAAGATTAAACATTAAATCACTTGCCAAGTCAAGAAAAATAACAAGGAAAAAATACTTCGATTTAAAAACTTGATTCTTCATATCTCAAAATAATTAGAGATATTTATGACAAACCCACAGCCAATATCATACTGAATGGGCAAAAACTGGAAGCCTTCCCTTTGAAAACTGACACAAGACAGGGATGCCCTCTCTCACCACTCCTATTCAACATAGTGTTGGAAGTTCTGGCCAGGGCAATCAGGCAAGAGAAAGAAATAAAGGGTATTCAATTAGGAAAAGAGGAAGTCAAATTGTCCCTGTTTGCAGATGACATGATTGTATATTTAGAAAACCCCATCGTCTCAGCCCAAAATCTCCTTAAGCTGATAAGCAACTTCAGCAAAGTCTCAGGATACAAAATCAATGTGCAAAAATCACAAGCATTCCTATACACTAATAACAGACAAACAGAGAGCCAAATCATGAGTGAACTCCCATTCACAATTGCTACAAAGAAAATAAAATACCTAGGAATCCAACTTACAAGGGATGTGAAGGACCTCTTTAAGGAGAACTACAAACCACTGCTCAATGAAATAAAGGAGGACACAAACAAATGGAAGAACATCCCATGCTCATGGATAGGAAGAATCAATATCATGAAAATGGCCATACTGCCCAAGGTAATTTATAGATTCAATGCCTTCTCCATCATGCTACCAATAACTTTCTTCACAGAATTGGAAAAGAAACTACTTTAAAGTTCATATGAACCAAAAACGAGCCCGCATTGCCAAAACAATCCTAAGCAAAAAGAACAAAGCTGGAGGCATCATGCTACCTGACTTGAAACTATACTACAAGGCTACAGTAACCAAAACAGCATGGTACTGGTACCAAAACAGAGATATAGACCAATGGAACATAACAGATGCCTCAGGAAATAACACCACACATCTACAACCGTCTTAGCTTTGGCAAACCTGACAAAAACAAGAAATGGGGAAAAGATTCCCTATTTAATAAATGGTGCTGGGAAAACTGACTAGCCATATGTAGAAAGCTGAAACTGGATCCCTTCCTTACACCTTATACAAAAATTAATTCAATATGGATTAAAGACTTTAATGTTAGACCTAAAATCATAAAAACCCTAGAATAAAACATAGGCAATACTATTCAGGACAAAAACTTCATGACTAAAACACCAAAAGCAATGGCAACAAAAGTCAAAATAGACAAATGGTTTAGTTCTAATTAAACTAAAGAGCTTCTGCACAGCAAAAGAAACCACCATCAGAGGGAACAGGCAACCTACAGAATGGGAGAAAATTTTTGCAATCTACCCATCTGACAAAGGGCTAATATCCAGAATCTACAAAGAACTTAAACTAATTTACGAGAAAAAAACAACCCCATCAAAAAGTAGGCAAAGGATATGAACAGACACTTCTCAAAAGAAGACATTTATACAGCCAACAGACACATGAAAAAATGCTCATCACCAGTCATCAGAGAAATGCAATCACAATCACAATGAGATACCATCTCATACCAGTTAGAATGGCGATCACTAAAAGTTAGGAAACAACAGGTGCTGGAGAGGATGTGGAGAAATAGGAATGCTCTTACACGGTTGTTGGGAGTGTAAACTAGTCAACCATTGTGAAAGACAGTGTGGTGATTCCTCAAGGATCTAGCACTAGAAATACCATTTTACGCAGTGATCCCATTACTGGGTATATACCCAAAAGATTATAAATCATGTTACTATAAAGACACATGCACAGATATGTTTATTGTGGCACTATTCACAACAGCAAAGACTTGGAACCAACCCAAATGTTCATCAATGATAGACTGGATTAAGAAAATGTGGCACATCTACACCATGGAATACTATGCAGCCATAAGAAAGGATGAGTTCAGGCCGGGCACGGTGGCTCAAGCCTGTAATCCCAGCACTTTGGGAGGCCGAGACGGGCGGATCATGAGGTCAGGAGATCGAGACCATCCTGGCTAATACGGTGAAACCCCGTCTCTACTAAAAAATACAAAAAACTAGCCGGGTGAAGTGGCGGGTGCCTGTAGTCCCAGCTACTCGGGAGGCTGAGGCAGGAGAATGGCGTGAACCCGAGAGGAGGAGCTTGCAGTGAGCTGAGATCCGGCCACTGCACTCCAGCCTGGGTGACAGAGCAAGACTCCGTCTCAAAAAAAAAAAAAAGAAAGGATGAGTTCATGTCCTTTGCAGGGACATGGATGAAGCTGGAAACCATCATTCTGAGCAAACACAAGGACAGAAAACCAAACACTGCATGTTCTCACTCATAGATGGGAATTGAACAATGAGAACACTTGGACACAGGGTGGGGAATGTCACACATGGGGACCTGTCATTGGGTGAGGGGCAGGGGGAGGGATAGCATTAGGAGAAATACCTAATGTAAATGATGAATTAATGGGTGCAGCAAACCAGCATGGCACATGTATACCTATGTAACAAACATGCATGTTGTGCACATGTACCCTAGTACTTAAAGTATAATTTTAAAAAAGAAAAAGAAAAAAGAAAAGAAAAGCACATGGGATGGGGAAAAAATTAAAAAAAAAAAAAAAAAAAAAACTTGATTCTTGCAACATGCTTTTTTTTCAAAACTTAGTTTAGATTTTGACCAAATCTCTATGTTACTATTAGAAATGTCAGTTACTGTTCCACATTCTTTTCTTCTCTTTTTTTTTTTTTTTTGAGACAGGGTCTCTATTGCCCTGGGTAGGGTGCAATTGTGCAATCATAGCTCACTGCAGCCTCAAACTCCTGGGTTCAAGTGATCCTCCTGCCTCAGCCTCCTGAGTGGCTGGGACTATGGGCATGTGCCACCGTGATCAGCTAATTTTTTTTGTAGACATGTGGTCTCACTATGTTGCGCAGGCTCGTCTTGAAATCCTGGCATCAAGTGATCATCTGTCCTTGGCCTCCTAAAGTGTTGGAATTACAGGTGTGAGCCACCACCATGCCTGGCCACTGTTTCACATTTTTTAAAATGGAACTTCAGATGGACTTCATGGTATCCTCACTGTGAATAATTTTCTTGAGCTCTTGTAGAGGTTAAGCTTTGAATTGTTTTCTCTTTTCTCAGTTCCTGAGGTTTGTGATCTAGTAAGCCAATCTCAAATGAGTCATCTACCACCTATTAATTGATTGTTACCTTTGAGAGCAGATTGATCCTCTTTTAGTTCTGCTTAGTTCCCCATATCAACAATTTAGTCTTTTACTGAATAATCCCACTGTCTAAAACTGTGATGGTTCCTCCTCACCTCCCAAGTCAGCCGCCTCCAAATCACTAATCTAATGTTGCTCTATAAATGTGCTACTGGCAGGAGAGCTTTGTGCCTTATAGGAGGAGAGTCAGGGAACTTGGCCTTTTCACTCACTTCACTTTGCCCATTTTATTTCCCCTTTCTAAGGCTCGATTATTTGTTTTCGATTAGATTATTTCTGAAGTTCATTTCCCCACGAAGATTTCTATAATTTTGTAATCATTGTGTCCCCCAAGAGCCAATTTTATGTGCTGGAAATGAAGACACTGCATGCCTAGCATGACTTATGGAACTCTGAGAAGGCTGTTCAGCCCCAGCTCCCTCTACCACACCTTAAGTTCCACCATTAGATATTCATTCATTGTGGTAGGATAGTACCTCTCAGATAGGACACCATTTAAAATCCAGTATGTTTAGAAGGGCAAACCCATAAAACTAGTATGTGAGACAATATAGTATCATGGTTAGAGGCAAGCTCTGAGGTCAGACCACCTTTCACACCTGGGCTGTGCCACGCACTAGCTATATGATCTAGGCAATTAATTCATCTTTCTGTGCCTCAGTCTCCTCATCTGTAAAATGAGGATAATAGTACTCTCCTGGAGGGTTTTTGTGAGGTCTCAATGAAATCTGTAAAGTGCTTAGATGAACATTATCCTGCTTTGTATGTGTTAGCAATTACTATTTTCATTTGCATACATTTCCATGTTGTGTTGATGCATATTGTATTGAAAGCTGATACCGAGTCACAGAGAAATTGTTTTGTTGGGAAACTGGAAGGAGATACTTTGAACACAAGAGGCACTGTTAAGGGACAGCCTGTGTCACAGCTGGTAGCGTAAAGTCGCTGGGTGCCTGCGGGTGGATAGGGAAGCATATATAAGAGACAGTAAGGGAGATGGGCCTCCTTCTAGTCCTAACCAGTATACTCAGTAACTGATAGAATGTATCAGCTAGGACTATGAACAAGTAATGTGATGTACACCTGCAAATTAACTTTGAATTCAGTACTTGCTTAACTTTCTCTGTGTCTCATAATTCCATGCCTTGTCATTTTCAGATAATGCTAGGTCTCTGAGCCATCACACTTGAGGAGCTATGGGGAAATGTAGAGTATTTTTACCTTGCTGAATGTCCTTCCTTCTTTTCTTTAGATTACATGAAGCAGATGACATTTGAAGCCCAAGCCTTTTTAGAAGCTGTGCAATTCTTCCGACAGGAGAAAGGTCACTATGGTTCCTGGGAAATGATCACTGGGGATGAAATCCAGGTAACATGGGGCTCAAAATTTTGGATTCTCTCTATGTTTGAGTATTTGGTTGATAGGAAGTCAGGGTCATTTTGTTAAACAATCAAACAAAAAAGTTGCAAGTATGGAAGATGTGGTTCCACAGGCCATCTCTCTCATGTCTGGAAGCATTGGTCAGGAAACTACCAGGCACCCACTGCAAAGACCACCAGACTGGGCATGAAATGGGGCAGCCAGAAACATGGCAACTACAGTGGAAAGAGCTTCCCTCACTGTTTTCTATGAAAATAATTACTCTTTCAGATGACCTCGTGCTTCCAGACTAGAATCAAGTGTGAGTAGCGAGCAGTAGTGCAAAGTGCATGACAGGGCTTTAGCTAGGGTCAGCATACTTGGACTTAAGTCATGCCAATTTATTTAACCTCTTTTAGTCTCAGATTACTCCTCTGGAAAAAATAAGAATAGTAATGTTTACCTTGCCTTGTGAAGTGCAGTTGGAGAAGTATTTGGCAAGCAGCTGTCTTTATTGAATTATATGTAAATGAAGTAATGAAAAAAATTCAAAAAGCATTAGACAGTTTTCCATATATTGCATTTATCTTTTCTAGTTTTCTGTGCCTTGCAGTACATTGTAATTTCTCATGATCCTGACTAGATGCCAGTCATGGCCTAAGCACTTCAGTGGGTTTGGTACCAGGGACAGTGTTATAAATCTCCAAAGGAAACTGCTTTGTGATGTGACCCCCGCCTCCATGGTGACACCAGTCACATGGCTGCTTCAGCCAAGAACAGGAGGCTGGGTATGGGCATATTTACATAAAGTAACATGGTATTTCAGAATGCTATTTTTTTTTTTTGAGAGGAGTCTCGCTCTGTCGCCTAGGCTGGAGTACAGTGGCGCAATCTCGGCTTATTGCAACATCCGCCTCCTGAGTTCAAGCAATTCTTCTGCCTCAGCCTCCTGAGTAGCTGGGACTATAGATGCATGCCACCACTCCAGCTAATTTCTGTATTTTTAGTAGAGACGGGGTTTTACCATATTGGTCAGGTTGGTCTCGAACTCCTGACCTCATGATTCACCTGCCTCAGGCTCCCAAAGTGCTGGGATTATAGGCGTGAGCCACCGCGCCCAGCCCCACTAATTTTTTTTTTCCCACATCTCCTAGGGTACCTCTTTTGGGAGCTAGTGAAATTCATTATTAGAGAACAACATTTGGAGGATGCCGAGTGGTGCCTTGACTCTGTGTGGTCATTAAACATCTAATGCTAAAAACTCATGAGGGAGCTCTTCTTTGTTGTTTCACCATATAAGAACATGTGTTTACCATTAGAATCTTCTCTTTCTCCCTCTTTTTTTTTTCTTTCTGGTAGATTCTAAACTCATCTATTTCCCAACCTGAGACTTGCGTCTTCCAGAATTTTAAACAAGTCTTGAGTTTTGATATTTTGGGGAAGCACAGCCATTCATAAGTCTGAGAGAACCAAATAGTTGTGTACTTATGCCATAAAGAAAAACAAAAGTGTCGGAAGGGGAAGCTGAAGCATTTGACACTGGCTGGCCTGCCATGTAAGCCAACATAGTTAATAGATAGATGAGTAGTCAAATGCATTTGTGTGATACTTGATAATGTTCAAAACCTAATGGTGTTTGTCTTGCCAATCTTATGAGATGGGTAGGGCAGTTATTATTATTATTTCAATTTTGTAAATGTGAAAACTGAGGGAAGCATATAACGGCGAAGTGACTTACTTGTCTCATTCATTCAACTACTATTTACTGAGCGCTGACTCTATGCCAGGCAATGTGCTGGGGGCTAGTGACCCAAAGATAGACAAGACAGAATGGTCCTGGCCCTGTGGAGCTGATAGTTTCAGGGATATACGCTAAGTGGACAAATGGTAAAGGCAATGATTGCTTCTGCTCCTGGCCCAGTGAAAGACCAACACCAACCATGGGAATATACTAAGTTACACATTTATTTTTCAATAGCTCCTTGAGTTCAGCTATGCCACTTGCTTCATTTTTTTCTTTCACTTGAAAATGTATGTGAACTTACATTCCTCCATGATGCCATTGAAAATAGGTATTTAGGCCAGGTGCAATGAATGGCTCACGCCTGTAATCCCAGCACTTTGGGAGGCCGAGGCAGGCAGATCACAAGGCCAGGAGTTCAAGACCAGCCTGGCTGACACAGTGAAACCCTGTCTCTATTAAAAATACAAAAAAATTAGCTAGGTGTGGTGGCAGATGCCTGTAATCCCAGTTACTTGGGAGGCTGAGGCAAGGAGAATTGCTTAAACCTGGGAGGCAGAGGTTGCAGTGAGCTGAGATCGTGCCACTGCACTCCAGCCTGGGTGACAGTGTAAGACTCCATCTCAAAAAAAAAAAAAAAAAAAAAGGGAAAAAAAAGAATATAGGTATTTAATAAATCCTTTCTGGGAGTTGAGCTTGAGTTTGTTTTGGCTTTCGGCTGATTATGTGCTAAGTGGTATAAGTTGGAAGAGACAGAAATGACTCATCCCTTGCCATCATGGTGAGGCAAGACACACATAGAAAGCATGCAGAAGACAAGGCACATATGTGTGTGGGTATATGTATATGAGTCTCTATATAGATGGAGATTGTAAAGCATTTGTGCAAGTGGTCATAGTAAGCTCCTAGTTTTGCAGGATAAAAAACATTTTAAATGGGAAAGTGAAACAAAACAAAACAAAAAAGCAGAAAAGAGATCAGAAATCACTGGAGTTATCAAGTGTCCCAGTAAGAAGTTTCACAGGGGCTGGGTGTGGTGGCTCATACCTGTAATCTCAGCACTTTGGAAGGCCAAGGTGGGAAGACTGCTTGAATCCGGGAGTTCAAGATTAGCCTGGGCAACATAGCAAGACCCTATCTCTTCAAAAAGTTTTCTAAAAGTTAGCTGGGAGCGGTGGTATGTGCAGGTAGTCCCAGCTACTTGGGAAACCAAAACAGTAGGATCATTTGAGCCCATGAGTTCAAGGATGCAGTGAGCTGTCATTTGTGCCACTGCACTGGGCAACAGAGTGAGACCCTGTCTCAAAAAAAAAAAAAAAAAAAAAAAAAAGTGGTTTTGCTCCTCCCAGAATTTAAGTGTTTTGGTAAAATGACAGACTCATAACATGTGAATGCTGGAGGAGCATTTCAGGATTATTTGTCCAGCAACCTCCAGGTGAGAGAAAGAACATTCACAACAGTTGGCTGAAGTCAGAAAGCTAGTCTGCTACAGAAATGCATTTTAAACCAGCTTGGAGAAGCTGGTAAAAGGAAATGGCCTCTAAAGCTTACTGTGTGGGGCCAGGTAAGGATTACGGTTCACCACAGACTCTAAGACTTGGTGCATAACAGTAAAGCAGTGTCTACCCTAAGACTCATAGAAAAAAAGAAGCCAGGGGGCCAGAGAAGCTAGCAAGTGGTTAAAGAAAATGGCATAGCATAAGTGAGTTTGAGAAAATGACATCTTTTGTTTAAAGCGCTGGGTTTATTTGCATTTTTTCTTCCTGACTGCTAAGACCTTAATCATAACCCTGTCCTGAACCCCTCTACCCTAGGGGCCTGCATTCAGACTCTCAGCCTTGTTCCATTACCTTCGTAGTAATGACTCACACAGCAAGTATGGAAGGCCCTCATGGCGATAGTTGTTTTAGGCAAGTGTCCAGGCAGAGCAACTATCTCAGAATAACTTGCCTGGCAGACTGTTAAGGTGAAAATATTTGTATGCCAGTAAAAACATCAACATATTTTCTACTTGTCAATATAAATATATCAAATGAGATCATGAGGGAAAGGGCTTTGCAACTGTAAAGTATCTCTAGCTATGTTATATATTTATTATTTGCTTTTAAAATACCAAGATAGGCTAGAGAACAGCTCATAATTCCCACAGAACAGTTTCAAGACAAAAAAAAAAAAAAACTACCCACATTTTTTAGGCCTTATCCATATGCTCCAGAGTTGTCTTTTGCTGAAAGATCTTAAGTGTGACTCCTTTTGAGTGGATTCTTTCACCCACGGCCACTCAGTAACACAAGGGGCCTGAGCCAGCAGCCTGATGAGACTGCGGGGCCTGCTTCAGGAAGGAGGGTGGCCTCTCCGGACCTCACACCTCCCTGACAGCTCAGCATCTGAAAGGAGGCACTGTGGTGGGACCTTCAAGGGGTGATCCCAGGTTTGTTAGTTTTGATCAACCTAGTGACATGCTTAGTTTCTTATAGGAGTGATAGAAGTTTTAAATCTCCAAGTCCTAGCAGTTAAGTATACAAAACACTCCCCTTGCCACCACCCCCCATTTAAAAAAAAAAAAAATTAAAGTGGTATTTTTAGGTCACTTATGTTAAAATTCAGTGGATACTGTTCTGAGGGGAGGAGCTAGGGAATTCCTTCATGACTACAATTTATTTATTAGACTAGCTACTTTCTCTAGAAAAGCCCAGGGGCTTAGGACTCTGCTCGTGGAAGGCAGACCATGGTAGGGAATGCCAGAGTGGGCTCTGGGGAGGTGACAGGCAGCACTCAATCAGGGCAGGGTGGGGCTGAAGGTTGGAGGATGAGGATGGTTGTTGGGATGAGATGCACTTGAACTTCAGCACCCACAGGCTCTGCTGCCCTGTGGCCATTTCCTGAGCCCCACTCCCCCACTGTATTAGTCCGTTTTCATGCTGGTGATAAAGACATACCCAAGACAGGGTAATTTATAAAGAAAAAGAGGTTTAATGGACTCTGAGTTCCACATTGCTGGTGAGGCCTCACAGTCATGGCAGAAGGTGAAAAGCACATCTTACATGGCAGCAGACAAGAGAGAATGAGAGCCAAATGAAAGGGGAAACCCCTTGTAAAATCACCAGATCTTGTGAGACTTATTCACTACCACTAGAACATTACGGGGAAACTGCCCCTAGGATTCAATTATCTCCCACCAAGTCCCCCCCAACACATGGGAATTATAGGAGCTACAATCCAAGATGAGATTTAGGTGGGGACACAGCCAAACCATATCATCCCTCCCCCCCCGACTTGTAACCCACTTCCACCCCCTCTTTTTCCTCCCAGACATATTTCCTTTAATTCCTTAAGTTGTAAAATAAAACCAAATTTCTTGGAACATTGTGTGGGAAAGACAAGAAAACTATAAGCCCACCCAAATGGAACATTATTTTTCTTTGGCCTTTATATATAACATTTTCATATTTTCAAATCCGTTTCACACTTATGCTAAAATTCTAACCAATCTCTGCAAAAGGATGAATTAGGACAATTCTTATGACCCTTGAGTTTCATAATGTCAACCCAGTGATTTTAAATTCTGGCATTGGTCTCCCTTCCTCTTGGCTCACTTTTCGCATACCACACTTTGGGGAGATGTGTTCCAAACGAGAACTTATCCCATTGAGCAGGGTGGGCTGGTGGATCTATTAGGTTGGTGCAAAAGTAATTGTGGTTCTTGCCATTACTTTCAATAATTGTTGGACCTGCTAATTTCCATGGAGTTTTGTGCATTTTAGGTGCCTCTTAAATGCCACAGAAAATGGTGATTCATCTTTCGACTGCCCCCAGAGAATGGCGAAGAAAGGTCAAAAACATCCCCACCAGTGAATTACCAGGGCTAGTGGAAACTCTGTCCCCACCATAACCTTCGTCACCCCAGGCAGATCCACTTGGCAGATGACAGGAGCCCCACTTGCTGCCCTGAGCTGAGCACCTCTCCCAGCAACCCACAAGCACAGTGGGACTGGACAGCTCGTCCACCTCCACCCTGAGAGTGTTTCTGTTTGGTTCATTGAAAGCGTTACACCCTGCCGCGACGGAGCCCTGATTAAAGGCAAGATCAAATGAGCTCATGGGCATTTCCACTAGCATGAGGCTGACCAGTGACCTCAGAGCAAATCTTCCTTAATTCCCAAAGCATAATTTGAATTTTTATGAGAAGTGAAAGGAGGAGGTCAGTTATTTGGACAAACATTATTTCAAACTCAGAACAGATGCTCCAAGTGATTCCCTACTTTTCTGCCTCCTGCCTCCCTTCCTAAAACTATGCTTCCCCTTTTGTAAATCTTAGTGTGCAGCCTGTGAATGCAAGCTGAGCTGTGGGCCTCGAAAGACTCACCGTGAAAGTGAATGTGAACACCAAAGCTGCTGCAATTCAGGGGCAGGGGTAAAGAAGGAAGGGCCAGTAGCATGAGTGGTTGTGTAGAATACTGCTCAGATTCACCGGAAATAGTTTAATTGAGCCAAGAAAAATTTTAGGAGCGATGTGGGAACACGCTTTTTAAAAACACTTGAAAAATTTAGACACTCCTTCCCATATTCTTCTTTTATTTTTTCCTTTTGTTTTGTTTCAGTCCCCATTATCTCACACTCCTCCTATAAATGTTCCAAATATTTGATTGTTCCAAAATATTGGTTATTCCCTTCTTTTTCCTGTTTCAAACTGTATCCAGCCTTATTAAAGATGCTTTTTGTAAGCAATCATAGTATATTAGGCAAGCCATGAGCAGATAATTGCTAATAGTATACAACAACTTCCAAACTCTCTTCTTCAATCAGAAGAAAACAGCTTCTCTGATCAGAAATCAGGGTATAAAACCCAGTGAAATCTTCATTTGCTTAGATTCTCGTTTGCAGTAAGGGTTGACATTTCACCTGTAGCATGTTTTTTAACAACTTTTCACGAGCCAGTCTAGACTTTCAGGAGATGAAATGAAAATGGCAAAATCATCAGTCTGGAGATCCACACTCTAAAAAGGGAACTGCTGTTCTTTTGAGAGATGCCCTCTCAATAGGGGTCACTGGAAGGTCCAGATGGCCCCCTGACTGCTAACTAATTTTACACATCAGGTCCCAATAGGTCTCTGGGTTTAAGGAAGTTGAGACCATACTAAAGGCAGAGAGGGTGAAGAGGAAATAATGAATTTTAGTTTTCCCACACCATAAGGTGTTTGTGCCAAGGTAGCTATGTGTGTCAACACCAGGAATCCCCCACCTGGGAGCCAAGAGGAAGTTTCTCAAAACTGGAAGAAAAGGTGTTTCCCCACATCAATCCAGCTTTGGAGACATTCTATTAGTGACATATGCCCCTTTCCCCCCAAAAATGAAATGTTCTGTGTGATAATAACATAGCTTTAAGAAAAGTAAGACAACGTTCTACATTTTTATAAAGCTCCATTTAAAAAAATAGTATTTCCAATTGGACGGTCACCAGAAGTACACAGTTACCAAAAATGCACACTTCCCCTGGCATCTCCAGCATTGTCAGCTTTTTGTGCGTGGTCTGTTCTGGCATCTCCATTTTCTGCAGGATTATTTCCCTCCTTGCCGGTGCCAGCCTTTCCCTTTTTCCCTTTTGCATACCTTCTCTTCCTTCTTAGTAGGGGCCTTTTGGAGCTTGGGTTCTGGCTGTGGAGAAGCAGGTCTAACAGACAACCTTGCCAATCTTCTCTGTGGCTTATCCTTCAATGTGGCTGTATCTCCTGGAGCATCCCCTCAGCCTTTCTCCAGTGCTGGACGAAGACACTGCATGGTGGGATGCAGTGATACCTGGGCTCTGGTCGGTCCAGGCGTCATTCTCGCTTCTTCAAACTGCTCTTCCCTTCTTTTACTAAACATTAAAGAGGATGACAATGGGGCTCAGGGGACAGTGGGGACAAAGAGGATGAAGATACTTTGATACTTTGATCATGAAGAGGCTAAGGAGGAATGATAGTCCCAGGGGACACAGACTAAGACTCAAGCCACCAAAGCCAAGCCTAGCATTTCCTTCACGATTTTGCTGAAGATGTCCTTATCCATTATTGAAATCTTTCATTTTACTGTATGCCCTAAGTTCTTCTAGTTTGAAGATGTGAAGTTTGAATTTGGGGAATTTGTTATTTACGTTGGGAAAACAAGGTGAGAATATCAGCAGACGTTACTATTCCTTGCAGATGTTTAAGAATGTTCAGCCTCTAAGATTGTCTTAGTTGAGATTTCTGTGGCCTCTGTAGTAGGTTAAGCTATTAACCTATTATAGTATTATTAAACTATTAACCTGCTACAGAGTTATCTGGTCCAGGCAGGGACAGCCAATCAGGACATCTTTAGTTGGCCTGCTGCTCAGATGTAGCCATCACCGACTGACCAACTCTGGGCTGTCTTCTGCCGTGCAGATCCTGAGTAACCTGGTGATGGAGGAGCTCCTGCCCACTCTTCAGACAGACCTGCTGCCTAAGATGAAGGGGAAGAAGAATGACAGAAAGAGGACGTGGCTTGGTGTAAGCAATGGTTTTGCTCCACAACTGAGCTACTCAAAATGGGAACATTCCCTTCCCTTTTCTCTTAGGGCATTTGTTGTTGTTGTTTGATATTTCCTTCCCTGGGTGTAGAAACGCCTACCTGCAACCTGCTCAGTCTCACTTACACGAAGACTAATCCAAACAGACTCCAACTCTGAAAGAATAATGACAATGTGTGTGCAGTTCTGTTTATGTTATGATGGTCTGTGATGAAGGCTCCTCCCTCCGCTTGACTCCATCAGCACTTACACATGACAGAGCCCTGATTTATGTGTTATTCCCTGTTGCAGCTCCTCGAGGAGGCCTACACCCTGGTTCAGAATCAAGTTTCGGAAGGATTAAGTGCCTTGAAGGAGGAATGCAGAGCTCTGACAAAGGGCCTGGAAGGAACGATCCGTTCCGACATGGATCAGATTGTGAACTCAAAGAACTATTTAATTGGAAAGATCAAAGGTCAGTGGAGATAATCCATGGTCTTACTAATTAAATAAACTGTACACACAGGGATCCACCGCATAGCAGGAATGCATGGTTTCAGAGGACAATTAAACTTAAGAAATCGGGTGGTGGTGATCACAGCTGCAACAGGAGCATGCTGGAGGTACTACTGGGGGCCTCGGCCTCCCTGTGGCAGCTTCATGGACACAAGGCAGAGGAAAGTTTGTTTCTTGCCTTTGGCAGTGCCTGTGTATTCTGATACTGCCTGCACTCCCAACCCCCATTGTAGCACCCCTGGCACTGAGTTAGACTGGCTTCTGCTCCACCTCCTCTCTGCTGTAAGCTCTCAAAGAGCAGAGCCATGTCACCCTGGTTTACTCAAGTACACCCAGGGCCTGGTGTCATGCCTGGCATATACAGACTCAGCAAATATTCAAATCAATTAATACATGGATTTTCCTCTAACATGAAAGCCTAAAATTTTGGCTTAGAGTCAAACCCAGTCACCCTACAAACCCAATAAATGTGGGTTTGTAGCCCCAACTCCAATATTAGCCAGTCCATGCATACTTGGGGAGGTCACTCAACTTCTCTTTAGCTCAGTGTCCTCCTCTGAAATTAGGAGGACCCACAGGAGTGGTGTTGGCAAACTGAAGCCCTTGAGCCATATTGCGCCACCACCTGTTTTTGTAAATAATGTTTTCTTGGCACACAGCCAGGCACATTCACTTATGTATTGTCTGTGGCTGCTTTTGTGCTACAACAGCAGAAGTGAAGAGTTGGAACTGAGACCTTACGGACCACAAAGGCACAAATATTTACTATTTGGTCCTTTACAGAAAACAGTTTGCCTATTGCCATACAAGAGGCCTTAGACGGCCTCTAAGGAATCCTACAGAATGAAATTCTATGGTTCTCCATTCTATCTGGGGCCTCTATAACCCAACAAACACGCCATACCTAGTGACCTAGTGTCACTTCAGAGGAGAAGCTTGCAGGCTCATCTGTGATTGTTTATCAACAGTCTTGCTAGAGAGTTCTCAGATTATTCACTCACTCACTCATTCATTCATTAGAAACTATTCACTATGTGCTTTCCAAGCGAGACAATGGAGTTTTAGCGTGACTGAGGAACACGCTATTCCTGTGCTCAAGAGGCTCAGAGTCTCGGGGCTGTCTGCTTTGTGGATTATCCTCTGCGGTTCAGGCCCCCTTTCCACTGCAGCCCAGCTTACTTCAGGGTTCTTAGCACAGGTCCTGCTGAGAGGAGGTTTGAGGAGGCACAGCTCCAGCGCAGGTGTGTGTCTGTGTATCTCTGTGTGTCTATTTACGCCATCCTTTCCAAAGCCAGCTCTACATTAACTTCAGAGTATTTGATGTTTTCTACTATCTGTGTCTCTTATTCCTCCATTAGCACAACTAATCTAGAGTTGACTATATATTGAAATACTTTGTACTACTTAAAACTACCAATGCTCAACTTCTGTGCCAAAATTTCTGCTATCTGGTGCTAAGCTGGGCTTAACCATGGCCATTCTCATGGCTGAAACTAAATCATCGTCCTTTGCCTAAATCTCTGTGGCTCCAGTGTATCTACTTATGATGGAAAAAGATTTTGCCCTGAATTAGTATATTTCCTAAAAGAAGCCATAAAAGGAAGTAATGATCAAGTCTTTTTAAAATGGAATATCAGTGTTACAGCTCCTTTAGAATTTGTCTAGCAGGCTTTCCAGTTTTTTTCCAGAAAGCCTCAAAAATAAAAAATGAATGAATAAAATGAATATCAGAAACACATTTTAACCAGGCATCCAGTGCTCCACCTTTAAAACAAGGAAGTGCGCTTTAGGCTGCATTAATAAAGGGCTTTGTATTTCTAAAAAAAAACCTGGGCAGTATTAAATGGTGATCTCTCTATTTCCTCCCATATGACTCTTGGGAGTAAAGCCCCAGAGCTTTAGTTCTGCTGCACAATTATTTATGCATTCAATAAGCATTTATTCTACTTCTGCTGACTACAATGGCTGGAATGATTCAAAGAAGACAACGTGATTTTACAAGGAGAGGAGGATACAAAGCATGTCATAGATGCTGAGACAGAAGGAAAAACATGTTCCTACCAGAGGCAGAACAAAGAGCACAGTGGTTCCCAATACGAGCATAGATCCCATTTCAACCTCAAGAAGCTACGTGGGCACCTCATAATGAGAGCACAGGTCTAGTGTCGGGGGACTGGAAAAAACGGTAATGCCAACAGGTACAATGAGAGTTAACAGTTTCTGAGTCCTTCCAAGGGGCCACTTCCAGAGTTGTAAGCACTCATAGTATAGTAAACTCATTTAATCCTCACCATAATTACTTTTATGATCTCCATTTTACAGATGATACTAGTGAGGTAGAAATTCGGTAATTTGCTGAGATTCCAGAGCTAGTTGTAGTAGAGGCGGGCTCCAAATCCAGGCCCTCTGGCCCTCACCTTTCAGGCATCATCTCTCTGTTCAGCTCCTTCCTTCACTTCAGTAAGGCTTATGAATTAATGCATCAAACACATATGCATCACAGCAGCATCTCTGCATGCTTGAAAAATAGCAGCGCATACACAAATGGGACATGGAACTTCTCCAGCCCGTGAGGAAACACCTGCAGACCCCAGCTCAGGAAGCTGTGTGGGAGTTCCAGGACGTTCCGGTGAAATTTGAACTGGGCCTTGAAGAGAGGAGTAGGATGTTTACGAACAGAGGTAAAGGAAGGAAGGCAAGGTAAAGGACATTGAATAAAAGTGCAGAGAGGGGGTGGGAGCACACTGTGGTAAGTAGGCATAGAGGGAGAGTGGGCAGAGAGGAATGTTCCCTCCCACAGCCCTCCTGTGCCTATCTTGGCCCCACCCAGCAGGTGAAATCTGCCATCTGCTGCCAGATCTTTATTGCATATTACCCATGTTCAGCATTGTTCTGAAATTTCAATTAGATGCTTTTCAAATACTTCCTCTCTTTAAAGTTAATTAACTAATAATTAATTTATTCTCCTGACAAACAGTTTTATACTTCAGTGTCAAGCAAGTCATTTTTAGAAGACTCATAGATTGTGTTATATTTGGATCATACAATTGAAAGCATTTTTTCTTAATAATTCTATGACCTGTGTAATATTTTACATCCCAAATATTTATGAGTGATTTGTAATATTAATAGTATTAGTCATTTTGGATTCTCAGAATAAGAGGCCGTGATCTGGTCCTGCACCACTCTGTGAAATGTTTCTGCCAGTTGAAATAAGAATGAAGCCATTCATCTCACTGCAAGCAAATTCCCAAGAAGAACTTAAGAAAGACACTTGAATGTTAGCCCTGCTCCTGCAAATTAGGGCGTGATGTTTGTCCAGTCATCGAACATCTCCAGGCCTCATTTTTTTCATCTGTAAAGTGGAGAGATTGGATACCAGCTCCACTCGTGCTTCTGTTTTCAGTTCTGTGATTCTATGACAAGGCTCTGTGACCTGCCTCGATCCACAGAGCTAGCCTTCCGGTCCACGGAGCGAGCTCAGGCTTCTTCCAGCTCTGGCCTCCTTCACTCCATTGCGGCTTCCTAGCTGATCCTGAGAATTACCTCTGCTCTGAAAACAATGCAGGTTTCCATGTCCTACCCAGACTGGACCAGGAGCTTCACTGTGCTCTCCCTCTTCTAAATCAAAAAGCAGTACTTTCCTCTGGAGAGTGGAATTATAGTGACATTTTTTCATTCCTCTTCATGATCAGAATGTACTCTACATTTTTGTCACTAAACAAGTCATCTTGGTCAGAAAAACCTATTGTGATTTTGTTTTGTCTTGTTTTAATCAGGGATAGGGACAGGAGGTAGGGTGGCAAACTGAATGGAATTTGGTTCCATTGGCCCAAGAAAAGAATGTACTGGAGTTCTTAAAAAGTATTTTGGTGGGGAGAGGGGGATGGAATTATATTGAGTGATTAACTCCTAGAGAAATGAATTAAAGCAATAAATTATGTTTTTAGAAGACAAACTGTGCATATTTAATGATGGTGATTGACAGTAGATAGGTGGATCACCAGCCTTTTCTTCTTTATATGAAGAGTTGCATGTTCAGAGGGATCAAGCAGAAAATGCATTTTGTCCCAGGGCAGAGGGAAGCTTGGGGAGTGGATAGGTTTGTTCCAGTTCTCAAATGGTCCAGTGATTTTCCTTTCTTGTGACCACGAGCACCAGGCTCATTGTGTTAGTCTATCATGGCCACTTGAGCTTGCCTTGCCTGTTAAATGGCTCCGTGGGGCACCATTCAGCTCTGGTCTGGCTCCAGTGCCCACAAACCCAGTTTTTCCATATGTCATAGTTTTTTTGGCTATTTCCTACCTCAGCGATGGTGGCCCAGCCGGCGGAGAAAAGCTGTGTGGAGAGTGTGCAGCCATTCCTGGCGTCCATCCTGGAGGAGCTCATGGGACCAGTGAGCTCGGGATTCAGTGAAGTACGTGCACTCTTTGAGAAAGAGGTGGATGAACTCAGCCAGAACTTCCAGAACACCAAAGACAGTGTCCAGCTGAAGGAGGTAGGATACAGAGCTGAGGAGCTGGGTGTGAATGGTCTGCCTGGCTGCGTTTTCCATGGGGCTTTATCTGCCATTTCTCCCTCCCTTCCTCCCTTCTTTCCTTCCTTCCATTCTTCTGCCCTTCCCTCCATTCATCCAGCCTTTCTTCCGTTCATTCAGACCCCCCATTCGTCCATCTATTCATCCATCCATCTGATAGTTTTATTGATGGTTTTCAAGTTAGAAAAATAATAACCTGTTTGTACAAGTGAAACAACATACTCAAATATATATAAAGGCAAACTTAATCACCATCACTGATACCCACTAATCCTAGTCCACCCCAGTCTCCTAGGCCACCCCCATTCCCAACTCCCTGAATTAACTAATAGAAACAGCTTGGTATATATTTTTGCTATAGTTTTTCTTTATTCATACAAGTATATATCCTCATTTGTAGAACATTGTTGGTTTGTTTTAAAAAATATACACTCATGATATGAAACTTGATTTAAAAAAAAAACTTCAGCCAAATTAAATCTAAAGGAGTTTAATTGAGCAACAAACCATTTGCAAATCATTAGCCTCTAGAATCCCAACAGATTCACAGAGACACTCGAGGGGTGCCTCATGGTCAGAACAGATTTATAGACAAAAAAGGTCAAGTGACATACAGGAATTGGAAGGGAGGTACAGAAACAGTGAGATTGGTTACAGCATGGCCTTATTTGAATGCAGTTTGAACATTCAGCAGTCTATGAGTGGTTGAAGTATGGCCCCTGGGATTGGCCAACACTCAGCTATTGTTACTACTGAGTTAGGTTTTCAATTTTGTCTGACTAATAAGCTAGGTTACAGTTCATCCACAGGGATTCAAATATATAAGTAAGGAGTCCTTCTTAGGCCATAGTTAGTTTGCATTAATAATTCCCCCCTTTTGCAAAGGATATGAACAGACACTTCTCAAAAGAAAACATTTATGTAGCCAACAGACACATGAAATAATTCTCATCATCACTGTTCATCAGAGAAATGCAAATCAAAACCACAGTGAGATACCATCTCATGCCAGTTAGAATGGTAATCATTAAAAAGTTAGGAAACAACAGCTACTGGAGGGGATGTGGAGAAATAGGAATGCTTTTACACTCTTGGTGGGAGTGTACATTAGTTCAACCATTGTGGAAGACAGTGTGGTGATTCCTCAAGGATCTACAACTAGAAATACCATTTGACCCAGTGATACCATTACTGGGTATACACCCAAAGGATTATAAATCATGCTACTATAAAGACACATGCACACATATGTTAATTGTGGCACTATTCACAATAGCAAAGACTTGGAACCAACCCAAATGTCCATCAATGATAGACTGGATTAAGAAAATGTGGCACATATATACTATGGAATACTATGCAGCCATAAGAAAGGATGAGTTCATGTTCTTTGTAGGGACATGGATGAAGCTGGAAACCATCACTCTGAGCAAACTATCACAAGGACAGAAAATCAAACACAGCATGTTTTCACTCATAGGTGGGAATGGAACAATGAGAACACTTGGACACAGGGTAGAGAACATCACACACTGGGGCCTATTGTGGGATAGGGGTCTGGGGGAGGGATAGCATTAGGAGAAATACCTAATGTAAATGACGAGTTAATGGGTGCAGCAAACCAACATGGCACATGTATACCTATGTAACAAACCTGCACGTTGGCACATGTACCCTAGAACTTAAAGTATAATAAAAAAAATTAAAAACAATAATAATTATTCCACCCTTTTGGTCACTTTCTCAATTTTGAGAGATTGACCAAAGCCTTAGTCATTGATGTTATTAGCACTATCATAAATGTACTTACATGGTTTTGAAACCCACTGGGAAACAGCTGAACAGTGGGTTTTGCAAGGAGGGAATAAGGACTGAGTAGAGGGCACCTCCTTATGCTGGAACATCCTATTTACAGGAGAAAAACAAAGCCTGGTCTGTTCTAGGATCTATGTGTTTTCTTAAAGTCCTAGCTTGATTATGTCACATTTAGCAGAAGTGGCTCTATTTTAGTTTGGTTTGGTTTGTTGGGGCCTAGTGCATGAGCTTAGTCCCAAATAATGGCCTCCCATTTAAAATTTTGTTTAAAAATAATTCCCCCTTTTGAGCCAGGTTCTCACTTAGGGGAGAGTGTGACCAAAACTTAGGGCCTTAGCACCACTCTCAGTTACCATCATTTTGGGTTTCTGGTCTCGGCATGTCATTCATATAGGTTATGGAGTCCTCATGGTCGCATGTTTCTTTCAGCTTTTGTCATTTCAGTTGAAGAGGGACCATTTGACGTCCTAGAGATGGCTGCATGCAAACATTTAAAACCTTTGAGAGAATACGGCACACCAGGAAGACTATTATTATGACTACTGGGAGGATAATATCAAGAGTGTGGAGTATGCTCCTTACCCAGGGTCCCCATAAACCAAATCACCTACAATTAAATAGATTAAAGAATGAGCTAGATGAAGAGTCTACTCACTTGACTAGGTGGTCTTTTCATTAATCCCCTACAGCTGAATTTTTATAATCTACATATGATGTATTTCTGCATAGGCCACAAGTGTCAGCAGCTGCACAGGTACATTTCTGTTTAGCGAATTTTATTATTTAGCAAAACTTTCACAAGAGAATTTAAAGTCTGTTGTGTAACAGCCTATAAAGTAGAATTTGCTGTAGGGCCTATTATGAGAGAGACATTTCTAATTCTTGTCTTTTAGTCTAAACCATGGAGAAAAGACCTAACAAATGATGTCCTTCTAGAAGAGTGAAGGCCTCCTGGCAGTGTTCTCATTAATCCATGATGCAGGTTAAGAGGAGTTTTGACTGATTATGAGGCAATGTATGTACCACTAAAGTTTCTCACTCACATTGGGCCTTAATCTGTTTTCTATTAAAGTATAAGGTTATTACTATATAAGGTTGGCTGCAAAATCCTTCACAGATAAAATTATACCCTATAAGTGCACATAATAGACTCCCTTTTCATTTATATTGTTCATAGAGGCATACACAAGGAAAAAATATTCAAAGGTCAGAGTCTTGTGATAGCAGAAGTCTTGATCCATGATCTTGGGAAAAGCTATTCATATCAAGGATGTCATCTTCTTCTGGGGAGAAACTGTCCTGGTTAGTTTAACTTAAGGGGTCCAGTGGATGTACAGTTCCAGGACTGTGAAGCGACCCTTCTCAGTTGTGAGATTATGAACCCAAGGTTCAAGTCTCCAAAGTTTTGCTGTAGTATGGAGGGCAATGACAGTCTTTCTCTGATGTTTTCAGAAGATCTAATCTTCAGGTTCTAGATTATGAAGGGATTATCCTCAGTGAACCATAAAAAGCTTTCTTTACCTGGTGAAAATACATTGTAGCATAATAATCTACTGTTATAACATCGGCCCTCTTGCATTGGAAAGCTTTTATACAATTAGAAAAGATGCACTGAAAATGACAGTTGAATGAAATCCCTTTATAAATGTTTAAATGGCCCATCAGATAGCCAAATGTACCTGAAGCTTTAATTTTTTTCCCAGGAATATGGAAGCAAATATTGGTTCTAAACTATTTCCATAATTTATAAGTTACCACATCAGTAGATTCAATTTGGATTGTTTTATCTTTTCCATGACAAGTCATGGAATGCAGAACCTTTAATAACAAAAGCTTAAGGACTCAGGAAGGACAAGGTGGCCATCCTAGTTCTTCATGAGTCCATGCTTAACAGTGGGCTTATGTCCTCTTGAATACCAGTTGTTTCTCCAATTTAGGTGCACAGCACTGATAACTAATGGGTTATCATAGGTAATTTGACTTAGACCGTGGGGTTCATTCAAATTGTGTATTTAAACAATTTTAGTATTGGCTGATTTAGCATGATAACCTAGAGCTTGGTTTTGAAAGGTTTGTCAAATACCACAGGTTTTAAGCATTGGATATTACAAAATAGAATCTTAGGTTACCTTCAGTCATTCATTTAGCCAAAATGATGATACAAAAATTTTTTAAAGGATGAAACATTACTCTGAGAGGAGACCAGCTTTCCAAATAAGACCCAATGAAGATAGCATGAGGCCAACTGTCTGTCTCCTTTCCTTCCCTTCCCCCTCATCTTTTTCTTTTGTAGTTTACTTAAAAGGTAAACAAAAACCTTTCATTATCTTTTAATATTATATAAAAATCCTTTTTAAAAGAGAAAGCCAAATTTTATGTTTCCATTAGTGTATTTTTAATGTTAAAGCTAGTTTTTAATAACATTTTATAAATATATTCAATTTTAATTACTTTGACCATAAGGTAAGACTTTTATAAACCTTTTATAACCAATTAGAATTTTTTTTCTCAGAACAGAACAATGTTCCAAGAAAACTCTGTTGTGCTTTTATTCCAGTGTCCAATTTAGGGAAAAAATAATAATGCCATTTTATTTAGCCAATATATTCACACATAGAATCTCTTACAGTTAATTTTTTATAAACCTTGCACAATGTGTTCAAACCTTTAGCTTTATTTAATTTAAAACAATCCTTTAACCCTCTAACCTAGGCAAAAATTTACATTTCCATACCTTCTTATAATCTCTTACAAAAAATGTATTTCATTCTCCTTACATACCTTGCATGTAAACGTATTTTTTTCAGTAGGCTCAATTACATATTACAGTGTTAACTCTCAGCAACTTTTACTTTCGGTAAAAATCTTGGTAAGTAAGGGATTTAATTATGTACTAGGTGTGGAGCCTAGGACCCAGACAGATAAGGTCTGACTTATTCCAGCATCTAACTCCATGTATCTCAGGCCTTACCTAGCTGTAAAGCAGGCAAACTGTACAGTTAAAAGTCATAGTGGCAGTTTATGAAGCACCTTTAAATTGTACAACATTTCTGGCACAAAATCTTTTTAATAAATTATTTCACAACTGACACAGACCATGTATGACATGTTTAGACTTTCTGACTTGCCTAAACATCTCTCTTTTT